TTTGATTTGCTGCAACATCTCTATACCAAAAGTCCTTACCCTCGGTTGAGACAGGGACTTTTGACAGGGGATTCTACTTGACTGCTGCAGAGGAGATTGTCTCTCTCTCCCCACCCCCCCAATAGCCTGCCGTTCCTTCCCTTGCAACAGTTGCTCGCGGGCCACACAAGAGCCCTGCATGGGCCAGTTCCAGCCCCCAAACCTTGCTTGACACCCCTGGACTAAACTGTATTTTCTTCTTCTTGAGGCAGGAAGATTAGGACTGGCCCCAGGGAGGATAGACTCTCAAAGGCAAGATTATAAATTCTCAGGACGGGAAGAATCAGCTTCCTTTCATCTCACTCTTATCTTTCAGCTTTGGACTCGGGAGGCACAAGCCATGAAGGGCTAAACCTTTACCTACGGACTTGATCTTGACCATGCGTTGAGGGACAATGGTGAGATGTCCCAACTTTGAGAACTGATATAAAAACCCACAAGGGCAGACTGGAGACCCAGTAGTGCAGCACTAGGCAGATGCTCCCGTGCCCCAACAGAGGATTGTCTGCATCCCTTCATGTGCAAATGCTGATTCCTATGGCCATCTGGGACAGCATCTCCATAGCTGCAAGCTGAGTGGAGAGGTATGAATGTGGCGACAGTGGCCCCCAACTTACCAGTCCCTGAAATTCTGCTTGACTGCTGCAGACAAGGTTGTCCCATCATGCTGAACCCGCAATTGGAGTGGCTCTGCCCACCCATTCCCGAGTAGACTCCTGTTCCATCCCTTGCATCAGTTGCTCACGGGCCACATAACAGCACTGGATGGGCCGGTTCTGGCCCCCAGGCCTTGTGTTTGACTTCCCTGCATTAGAAGATTGTTTTCACCATTTCTTTATATCCTTGCTCAATCTGATGTTTGTACAGAATATGTGTACTCCTTTTATTTGTTTAATATTTGAGAGCCAGTTTGGTGTAGTGGTTAAGTGCGTGGACTCTAACCTGGGAGAACCAGGTTTGATTCCCCACTCGTCCACTTGCAGCTGCTGGATGACCTTGGGCAAGCCATTGTTCTGTCAGAGCTGTTCTTGGAAGAGCTCTCTCAGTCCCACCTACCTCACAGGGTGTTTGTTGTGGGGAGGGGAAGGGAAAGGAGTTTGTAAGCCGCTCTGAGACTCCGAGTGAAGGGTAGGATATAAATCCAATTTCTTCTTTTATTTTGAATGCTTGAAAACTGGTCTCTGTACTAGGGGGCCCATCCCCTCAGTGGGGGGCAGGAATCCCCTGCCCCCAATTGGTTTCAGCTGCTCAGAGCAGTGATGGGAAATTTATTTTTAAAAAGACATGCAGTTTTGTTTATGGCACTACGTCACTTGCAGTTAAAAAAAACAACCCAAGGTGACATAGGTTAGCTCTAAGCATTGCTGGAAACTCTGTGGTCAAGTAAACTTCTGTGTGTCTAAATCCATGCAAGAGCCAATGTGGTGTAGTGGTTACTTTTGGACTGGGACCCAGGAGATCCAGTTTCAAATCCCCTCTATGCCACGGGAGCTGGCTGGCTGACCTTGGGCCAGTCACACATGGCCAGGGCTGCTGTGAGGATAAAACACAGGAAAGGAGAATAATGGAGGCCACTCTGGGTCCCCATCAGGGAGAGAAGTGGCATAAAATAAATATGAACAAACCAAAAATAAAATGATTCTTCTGCAGCCTTCCAGCACTTTAGAATGCATGCATCATTTAGAACTTAGAGGACAAAATGGAAACCCCAAATTAGACTGGAAGCATGCAGACAGGCATCATATAAACAATCTGGACACACTGACTTGCCCTCCCCCTGGTGGATCTCTCACTAAGACCAGTGTGGCACCACTTAGATTCCTGTTTGATTTGGGATCTCCATTTCACACCACTAGAGTTAAAACCATCAGGAATCTCTGTGCAGGTGAATGAAGCCAAAATTGGATTTCTGACCAGCTGAGTCCTGGATGTGCTTTGGAAGGAGGCGGCTTAACCTTTCCTGCAGTCTGACATATGTCTTGTTCAGGGTCCTTTTGGCTGGAAAGAAAACCTTGAGCCACAAGGCAGGAGGGAAGGGAGAATAATTTTAAACCATAATTTAGCAATCCTGCTTTTTATGCGGAGGTGTGCAAGAAGCCGCTCTGGATAAAGACCCTGCTCCGCAGTGCTGTGTCGGTCACTCCGGCTCAGAGCTGCCCACACAATTATGGGATCCCTACCAGTGTTCCCTCTAAGCTGAGTTAGGGTGAGCTAGCTCACAGTTTTTTAGCCTCCGGCCCTCACATTTTTGTCTTCACTCAGGAAGGATGGCTCCAGAGCAAACTAATTTATGCAGCAGCCAAATCACTCACACACGACTTTAAGGCCAGTAGCTCACAAAGTAGAATTTTTTGCTCACAAGGCTCCACAGCTTAGAGGGAACATTGGTCCCTACCCTATACTGCAGAGGACAAGCTGCTCCCATTTTGCAAGGAGTCCAAGAAATGTTTAATAAAACCGTGGGGCAACTCACAGGCCTTGTCTATGAAAACTAACCCTGTAAGTCTGTTGCAGCAAAATAAAACAAAAATGTCGTGCCACCTTAAAGGCAAACAACATCTATTTCAATATGGGCTTTTGTGGGTCACTCACAGCCCATACCTATCCTTCCTACATCAATTCCTCCCCCTTTTCCTCTCGCACCGAGATTTACACTTGAAATGAAAGGCTCGTAGTGTAGTTTGCACAAGTCTGGACTCCCACCCGCTCCAACCTGCCCCATTAAGATTCCCCAGTGTGGTTTTCCATGACATGACTATCTGACTGAGTGGGCTGTGAGTGACCCACAAAAGCTCATTCTGACATAGGTGTTGCTGGCTTTTAAGGTGCCACTACAGTCTTGTCTCCAGTGTGTGTGTGTGTGTGTGGGGGGGGTTAAGTGCCATCAAGCCCCTACTGACTTATGGCGGCCGGATGAGTGAATGATCTCCAAAACGCCCCCCTGCGAGCAGCCTTGTTCTGGTCTTGGAAGCAGAGGGCTTCTGTGGCTTCCTTGACTGAGTCCATAGCCTCAGTTTAGTCATTTTAGCTTCTAGGGAGAATTCAGGCTTGATTTGATCTAGAACCCACTGACTGAAGAGACTAATAACGAGAGATTGGATTTATACCCCGCCCTTCACCACCCAAAGGAGTCTCAGAGTGGCTTACAAACTCCTTTCCCTTCCCCTCCCCACAACAGACACTCGGTGAGGCTGTGAGAGCTCTGACAGAAACGGCTCTTATCAGAACTATGGCTTGCCCAAGGTCATCCAGCAGCTGCAAGTGGAGGAGTGGGGAATCAACCCTGGTTCTCCCAGATTAGAGTCCGTGTGCTTAACCACTACACCACACTCTTTGTATCTGTAAAACACCACATTTCAAAGGAATCCACTCTCTTCCTGTCAGCTTTCTCAAGCCACACACACACACCCTGCTGCCTATGAAAAATGGTGTGCCTCTTCCTCTTTCGTCCTTGAGTTCCACGGCCAAGCAACGCTTCCAGCACAAGTGCTGGGGAGGGGCGGGGAGAGAATGCACCACCCACCTGCAGAGGCTGGGGTCCAGGCACACAAAGCAGGGTGGGGGTAGGAGAGGAGGGCTGGAGTGGGCCAGACATCCTTGGAGCAAGCCCAGCCCCGGGGGAGCTGCCAGGATCTCGTGGGCTTGGCTGGTCTAGGAGGCATCGATGGGTTGCTGTGGCCTTTTCCCTTCTCCTGCCCAGCTGCCTGAGACATGCTGCCAGGGCCTCGGTTGCCTGGGCAGACGTCTGGCCACCGGCTGCCAAGCAGAACGGGCACACGTCCCTGTGGGCTCCCCACCTCTGCTTTAATTGCCTTTCTGTAACCTACAGCCCCTGCAGGCAGAAACACATCAGATGAAGCTTCCCTCCCATTTCTGTCTATGCTGGGAAAGGCATACTGGAACGCCCACGGAGGGCCGCAGTGGCCTCCCTCCAAGCAAGACCGGTCCTCCCGTCCTGTGTGGGCGGCATCGCTTCAAGACTGACGCCTCTTGCAAAACATACGTTATAAAACAAACACTCCTCCCTTGTGCAATCATCACCGTTTTGCACCAGTCTTACACCCGTGTGACCTCCACAGCAAGTGGCACAACAAGACGGAAGGAACTCAGCCCCAGGACGCAATGGGCTGCTGCCTCTGGGAAGCAGCCAAGCACGGCACAGTAGAGCAAATCGCCCCTTGAGGACAAGAGCTCCATGTGGGCTGTTCCGACCAGCACCCTTAGGCAGAAGAGCCTATTGAGATATATGTCTAGGTCATAGAGGTAGCAAGCAGTTACTAGATCAGTTTGATCTGTTTGACAGTCCTAGCTGTCATGCTAGTGATTAAGTGATTACAGCCAGGTGTTATACTAGCAGGTGTTCTCTATCAGGCATTGTTAGAGTAGGTAATTAACTCACATTGTTAGTGATTGGCTGGGTTTAGTATATTAGCTATCAGCTTGATAAGCTAGGTGGGGACTTAGTCTCTCAAGCTAAGGTATGCTGTATGATAGCCTGTATATCTCTGTGTATATATTCACCATTATATCTATATAAACTTTCTATGCACCTCCATCACCAGTCGGTCTCCAGCTTCTTATTTACTACACCCAGTAGAGCCACCGGAGATCCCTGAGCTGCCCACTGAATCTGTCTTGGACCGTTTGCACCCGCCCCTCCACTAAACCACCTGACAGATGCCAGTCGCCTGAGCCACTGTGTGTGTGTGCGAGAGAGAGAGATCAGGAGGTGCCTCTGGCATGCCAAGCGCGGAGCCCCCCATCACCTGACAGATAAAAGCGCACACACACACCCCGAGCACAGCAGCCTGGGCTTGTGGTTTTAGCCCTCTCCCCCATGGACTTCCTCGGTGTGCTGGGGAGGCTGAAGTGCTCCTCCAACTTCTGTCCGCCCAGGCAGACTCTCCCGTTCCAGGTCTGAATGAGAGATGCGTTGGGCAACCTGGGAGGCGAGGGCTGGCTGAGCGAGGCTCCAGAGATTGCCTGTGCAAGTTCAAGAGCAGGAGGGGGCACAAATCGTTTTAAGTGCTATGTATAATTCTTCACTTTAATGGTCTCCATAAATAATGCTTTCCCTCTCCATACCAATCAAGCATGACCTTATATACCCTTCCCAATTTGGCGGTGCTCCTGCTGCTGTTTCCTCAAGTGCTTTCAAGGGCAGTGTTCAGAAATGGGCGCAATTAGGAGAAAAAATTGGCACTGGGTTTAACGGCCTCACATTGGCACAAGATGGCTGCTGATGTTTGGTGGCAAGGAAATGTGGTTTTGTGGCCTAGGCAGCCACTGGCTGCGGCAAAGGGACAGGAGAGGCATGAGGCCAAACCCCGAGCCATCCTCAAGCAGCCTGGACACGGCTGGACAAAGGTCCCAGGTAGGTTTCTGGCGGCACAGGTCCTCCAGGGGGTGGGGCTGGGCTGGGCACAGCTCTTTCTGCCGTCGACATTTCAGAGCCTCTCTGTTCCTACGCTCCCCTCCTCAGGCATCACATTGCCGTCTCGCTGTTGAGATGCTTGTGGGTCTCATTCTCTTGGTAAATCAGGTGGTAGGGCTTTTCGTTTTCCTCCGTAATGGAGTTGCTGTTTTCTGCATCCTGGCGCTCCAGCTCATGTCGGGACAAGTGTTCCACCACGCCAGCCCCAAGGGAGTCCCCCAGCACGTTGACAGTGGTCCTCAGACGGTCCCTGGACGAAAAGAGAGAGCAGTCAGGCTGGGAGAATCCTCCACCTCCCATAGTGCAATTTTCTTCGCAACGAATGGTGTGTGTGTGTGTGGGGGGTGTGTGACATTCTCACAACAGCAAGCTTTGCATTGGACCAGCTCTGCAGAAAAAGGGATGGAGGAAGGAAAGGAAAGCCCCCGCGCCCCCCAGAAAGAGGCGCTGCAAAAAATGTGTTTTAAGAAGAAGAAGAGATTGGATTTATACCCCGCCCCCTTCACTACCCAAGGGAGTCTCAGAGCAGCTTACAAACTCCTTTCCCTTCCCCCTCCCCACAACAGACACCCTGTGAGGTAGGTGGGGCTGAGAGAGCTCTGACAGAAACGGCTCTTTTTCCAGAAGAGCTGTGCCAGAACTACGGCTTGCCCAAGGTCATCCAGCCAGGTGCAAGTGGAGGAGTGGGGAATCAAACCCGGTTCTACCAGACTAGAGTCCACGCACAAACTGGTGAAGTTGGAAAGGAAGGAGCCCTGGCTCAGCAGCTTTGAAGCTGAGGAGTCCTGCATGCCATCAGTTGAAAGGGGTCTTAGGTGCTGGGAAAAGACAGAAGAGGAGCCCTACTGGATTGGGCCAGTGGTCCACCTAGCCTGGCAACCTGTCTCACGCAGGTTGCCCTGCAGGGCCAACAAACAGGGCACAGAGGCCAAGGTCTTCCCCTTATGCTGCCTTCCAGCACTGGTCTCCAGAGGTTTGCTGCCTCTGAATAGGGAAGTTCCCTTTAGTCACCGTGGCTAGTAGCCGCTGATGGGCCTCCATGCATCTGTCCACCCCCCACCCTTAAAAGCCATCTCTGCTCATGGCCATGGCTACCTCTGCTGGCTGCCCATTCCACCATGCAATTAGTTGTGGAGTGAACAGCTGGATTCAAGTCCGGGAGCACCTTAGAGGCAACAAGATTTTGGGAGAATCAGCTTTCGAGGCTCAGAGCTCCCTTCACCAGATCGTTGAGTGAAGGAGCCCTTCCTTCTATCTCACTCTGAACCTAGGTAAAGGTTTCCCTTGCTCGAAAGCCAGTCTTAGGGCTCTTTTTGTAGCAGGAACTCCTTTGCATATTAGGCGACACACCCCTAATGTAGCCAATCCTCCAAGAGCTTACAGTAGCCCCTGTAAGAAGAGCTCTGTAAGCTCTTGGAGGATTGGCTACATTAGGGGTGTGTCACCTAATATGCAAAGGAGTTCTTGCTACAAAAAGAGCCCTCATCTCCGTTTCCAAGTGGAATAGCCAGTGCTGTCCAGAGATGTTTCCGTGGTCATTTAGCCAGCATGACTAGAAGCCGAGGCGCACAGAACGCTGTTACCTTCCCACCAAAGTGGTACCTATTTATCTACTTGCAATTTCTTGCTTTCAAACTGCTAGGTTGGCAGGAGCTGGGACCAGAGACAGGAGCTCACTCCATCATGCGGCACTCGGGTCTCGAACTGCTGAACTACCGACCTTCCAGTCTGCAGTTCAGCGTCTTAACCACTTGAGCCACCACTGCCCATCAATTTTCTCAGGTACCAAGTACCAGTATTATGGGAGAGGAAGAAAACATTCCTTCTACTTACTTCCTCTACCCCGTGCACAATTTTATAAACCTCTGTCATGTTCCCCCCTCAGCTGTCCCATTTCTCTAAACCGGGGGTCCCAAACCTTCTGGCACAGGAGGCCTCATTAGAGCGTTCAATGCCAAAAGAGGACCACATCTTAAAAATATATTAATCTACCTATTTAAATCAAAAGTAAACATTCAGAGGTAAATGAAGAAATGTTAACTTGAACACAATCCATTTTGGAACAGTATTTTACCGTGGAATCCTTTTATCTAGCTACACACGCTTACCAAGTCAGTGTGATTTTTGTGGCTATTTTCTGTTAGCCAAGGCATTAATGTCCAAGTCAAGTTTGTGACCCTTAAAATGTCATGTAAATATTCATATGTAAGTCTTGAATTGGATTTCACAATTTTCACCTTGGAAAAGTTTGTTCACAGACGTATGTGGTGCCTAAGACTGTGAACATGCCTGCAACGAATTTCTTTAGGTTGATAAATATATCATGTAGACCACAATAGAAATCTAACAGACTCTTTTCTTTGTAAATGTCTCTGAGATGATCACTGGCTTGCAAATCAATTAGTTCCATCTGAAAAAAGTTACTTGCATCTTCTGGTGCTACTTCAAATGGATTCTGAAAAATTCTTATTTCCTTCCCATGCTTATGGCAATCAGTGAATCTAGTCTGGAATTCCACCTGCAATAGGTTCGGAGCTTCGATGTGTCTTTCGACACTGAATTGTAAATTCCCGTCTTTCTCAAATTTTAGTCCATTGCAGCATGATAAGTTTGAAAAGTTACCTTCACTAACTTGCTTGACAAAAATGTTTCGTTTTGCTTCAAAAGCTTTCAGTTCAGAATACACGTCACACACGAGCTTTCCTTTTCCCCACAACCTTAAAGTCAATGTGTTCAGATGCTCTGTGATATCGGTTAAGAAAGCCAAATCAAAAATCCATCCAGGGTCAAAAAGTACTTTCTCCTTGAGAAAGACATCAGCTTCATGATGAATACTAAAAAAATGTTTGAGGATATGGAGCAGAAGTCCATCAGTGGCTATTAGCCACAAGGTATAGATAGGAACTCTCAGGCTGGGGCAAGGGATGCTCTGTATTCTTGGTGCTTGGGGGGGGGCAACAGTGGGAGGGCTTCTAGTGCCCTGCCCAGTGTTCCCTCTAAGCCGAGTTAGTGTGAGCTTGGGGGGACAACAGCGGGAGGGCTTCTGGAGTTCCGGCCCTGCTGGTGGACCTCCTGATGGCACTGGTATTTCTGGCCACTGTGTGACACAGAGTGTTGGACTGGATGGGGCATTGGGCCTGATCCAACATGGCTTCTCTTACGTTCTTATGTCTGGAGCAGTGATGCTCTGTCTTCTTAGTGCATGGAGGGCAACAGTGGGAGGGCTTCTGGAGTTCTGGCCCTGTTAGTGGACCTCCTGATGGCACCTGGGTTTGGCCACTGTGTGACACAGTGTTGGACTGGATGGGCCATTGGGCCTTATCCAACATGGCTTCTCTTACGTTCTTATGTCTGGAGCAGTGATGCTCTGTCTTCTTAGTGCTTGGGGGGCAACAGTGGGAGAGCGTCTAGTGTCCTGGCCCCACTGCTGGACCTCCTGATGGCACCTGGTGTTTTTGGCCACTGTGTGACAGAGTGTTGGACTAGATGGGCCATTGGCCTGACCCAACATTGGCTTCTCTTAGGTTCTTATGAATTTGCCTCTGCTAAGCCTCCTGACCTGCATGGTACAATACATCCACATTCTGTATTTATCTCTGAGAGAACATTTTGAAACTGACCATGAGTAAGGCCATGAGGCCTGAGGTAATTAAACCTGGATACAACAATATGCATCACACTTTCCCACCAAAGAATCTTACTACACAAGGCTTGCTGATGGATGATGTGGTGAAACTGCATGGGGAGTGTACCATTTAATTTTTTCCCTTCTGTCCTCACACCAGTTACAAGCTTCCAATGGACTGCTTCCCAGCTGATTTCCTGCAACCTGCTCTTTCCACTGAATCTGGCAAAAGCCGTTCAGAAAAAAGCAAAGAGGCCTACGATCATCTCATGGGGGGGAGGGCAAGAATAAAGACGGCACGCGGGAAAGTCAGCCGCGGCGGCAGCGAGGGCGCTGTGCGGAGCACCCCTGCCTCCGCCTCGCGCAGACACTTACAGGAACCAGTCCACCGCCATGATCAGCGTGATGTCCTCGGTCGGCAGCCCCACAGATGTCAGCACGATCATCATGGTCACCAGGCCAGCCTGTGGGATCCCTGCTGCTCCAATGCTGGCTGCGGTGGCAGTGATGCTGTGGGGAACAAAGGGGGATGGGTTGTACCCAGAGAGTGCGGTTGGGGTGGGGTCTACATGCGCACACATCTGGCACCAACAAACAGTCGGATCCCACCCCCCCACCCCCGTTATTCGTTTCTATCGACTCATTTTTTTGTCCCACCCTTCCTCCTTCCCTCCTTTTATCCTCATAACAACCCTGTGAGGTAGGGCAAGGCGGAGCGTGAGTGGCCTACGATCACCCAGTCAGCTGCATGGCTGAGCGGGGGCTGCCGCTGGGGACTCCTGCTCACACCCTAAGCACTTTCCAGTTAAGCAAGTGTGCCAAGGTCTGCTCCCTCTTCACAGGGCATGCGTCTTGCGTCTGTTTGCCACCAGAGAAGGAACAAGGAGGTCGGCTGGCCCATGAAGGCTTGAAGAGGGAGTTGTAAGCTGAAGGTAGATGGGCGTGCCTGGAGCCCGGGGGTGGGGGTGGGCTCTTAGCTCTCTGGGACAGCTGATCTGCAAATGGAGTCTGGGGTGGAGGGCTGAAGCCCCGTCTCCCACCCTCGCCCCCAACCTGGCTGGCTGGCAGTGCCTGCTGCCACAGTAGCCACCCCTCAACATACCTCTCTTGCCTCTTGGCTGGCAACTGGAGGGACCAAGCAGTACCCCGCAGGGAGGTCGGATATGGCCCGGGGGCCTTTGGTTGCCGATCCCTGGTCTAGAAAAAGAAATCGGGTCTTGCTTCGCTCTTGATTTTGCCATGCGCGGATTTGTCAACTTTCTGGAGCTGCGCCTTTGATTGTCTGGAAGACTCTCACCCCCGCAAGCTTAAAATAACCACCTCGGTCTGCTGAGTGCTGAAATCGGAACTTCCTCATCACCCAGCTTTCATTTTGCTACTCGCTTCATCCTGAACAGGGGCAGGCCAG